TGGAGCTGCGCTACGTAGCTCGTGAATTTATTTAGGATTTAATTCATTTTAAATTCATGACAAATATTGGACGTTGGCGCTGTCACAACCAAGAACCAAGTTACATTTTAAAAAATTTTTCATTTTTTATGGTGAGTGTCAGACAGTTCCCCCTACCACCAGAAACCGAAAGCTGTCAGAAGTTAATGGAATTATTATTTAAATGATTATTTAATTAATAAATCATTAGTAAATTAATGGAAATTATTAATTGAATTAAATAATTAATCGCAACCAATAACGAAGGGTTGCCACCGAAGATATGGCCGTACAACCATGTTGAATTATTTTTAGTACCGCAACCAGAAAGATTTACAACCAACACTCGAGATTAAACTTTACCATGACAACAAGAAAATTCAATTTCATCCAATAAATGAAATTTATTTATGTGCCTAAACCTGAAGCTAAATTTTACGACCACAACCACACAAATTTTACTACCATAGCAACACCAATTCTATCACCACAACTACACCAATTTTTCCATCACAACCACTCCAATTTTACCACCACAACCACACCAATTTTACCACCACAACCACTCCAATTTTACCACCACAACCACACCAATTTTACCACCACAACCACAACAATTTTACCATTACAACCACACCAACTTCACCACCACAACCACACCAATTTTACCATTACAACCACAACAATTTTACCACCACAACCACACCAATTTTACCACCAAAACCACACCAATTTTACCATTACAACCACAACAATTTTACCACCACAACCACAACAATTTCACCACCACAATCACACCAATTTTACCACCACAACTACACCAATTTTACCACCACAACCACACCAATTTCACCACCACAACCACAACAATTTCACCACCACAACCACACCAATTTCACCACCACAACCACACCAATTTTACCACCACAACCACACCAATTTACCATTACAACCACAACAATTTTACAAACACAACCCCACCAATTTCACCACCACAACCACATCAAATTTACCATTACAACCAAAACAATTTTACCACCACAACCACACCAATTTTACCACCACAACTACACATATTTTACCACCATAACCACACCAATTTTACCATTACAACCACAACAATTTTACACCACAAACATACCAATTTTACCACCACAAACACACCAATTTTACCACCACAAACACACCTATTTTACCACCATAACCACACCTATTTTACCACCACAACCACACCAATTTTACCACCACAACCACACCAATTTCACCACCACAAACACACCAATTTTACCACAACACCCACACCAATTTTACCACCACAACCACAAACATCCACTGCTAGCCACGCATCCTTCACTCTCTCCTTACATCCACTGCTAGCCACGCATCCTTCGCTCTCTCCTTACATCCACTGCTAGCCACGCATCCATCACTCTCTCCTTGCATCCACTGCTAGCCACGCATCCATCACTCTCTCCTTGCATCCACTGCTAGCCACGCATCCATCACCGCTCGTTTACCTGCATGTCAGCGACACTAAATATGGCGGCACCAATGCTATTCGTACCTAAATATGGCCGTGCCAATGCTATTCGTACCTGAAGGTCAGGTAACGGGAGTTGACGATATGAGATGGATGATTAAATGTTATCAGATGAATCTTATCTAAAGTTCAAATGGTATGTAAACTTGCTTGTACTAACACGTGTTTCATATAAAATTTCAACGGGTAGAAAAATGTTGCACTGCCTTATCACAATAGACATTTGTTTTCTGCTAATATGTAGTTTATTGCAGAGCGCGCAGATAACAGTCAATAAATTCTATTGAACACTATTGAACACTATTGAACACTATTTGAAAGTGTTCAATAGTGTTCAATAGCCATTTACATTTTCTTCACTCGACGTTGATAGTTTGTATCTTAATACTTTTATTTATTTATTTATTTAATTATTTTTAGACTAGATGATCTTCTAAACACTTCCCCGATTTGCGATAAAAAACGAAATAATGTTTAGCTTCAAATAAGAATATAGACAAAAATCTTGGTTTTAGTCCAATTTAACATATATTGAATCTTTCGACATAATTAACGAAGAAAAATTTCATTGACTTTGCATCGATTTCGGCGTCACCAAACCTGAAATAATCTTCGCCATTTGATATTATTATTATTTATTATTTCGCAATGAGTTATTTATTAGTTTATTTAGTTTACGTGGCAGCGAATATCGGCCGGTATAAATTATTAGAGTGGCAAAATTTAAGCGTTATATATCAGTCATATAGTCCCGTATAAATTATTAAAGCGGCAATATATAGCGTATAATTCACTCATTTATGCCGGTATAAATTATTAAAGCAAAAATATTTAAGCGCATATATAATTCATATATGCCGGTATAAATGATTAACGTGGCAATATTTAAGCGTATATTTCACTCATATATGCCGGTATAAATGATTAAAGTGGCAATATTTAAGCGCATATTTCACTCATATATGCCGGTATAAATGATTAAAGTGGCAATATTTAAGCGTATATTTCACTCATATATGCCGGTATAAACTTCTTTAAGTTTACGAGCCATCCACCAGCAGAGGCCAGCACCTCCAGCAGCGCTACTGTCGGAGGGAAGACCCAGGATGACGGGGCTACCCTCGCACACGCTCACCTAATGGCATGGCTTATTATATAGCATGTAATATAGCTTACCTGTTACACATACATGTGTACTTTGCACAGCTTATTATTATTTTTTTTATTGTTATTATAATTATTATTATTATTATTATAGTTAGTTTGGCAAGGCATTATGTTATGTACATTGCATAGATTAATTAAGCATCTGTATCATTATTGTTGTTCACTGGGTTGATCAACATGCATAGAATCAAAGTCTTCCCATTTATTTATTTAATAATTAAGGTTATCATGGGTTCGACGAATTCACTCGTTGATACTAAAATAGTTCGTAGCAATTTAAATCATTTGTACCAGTTCAAAAGTTACAATAAAGCAAGATACACGACTGTCGTCTTCTGCACGAGCTGGAGTTTACACACGTTTTCTTCATGGCAAATCTTCTTTTCTTCTTCCACGCAAAATACTTTGAATTATTCAGTCAATGTGGTCTATTTTATATGAATTAACCGGAACTGAAATCGTTTATATGGCTTTATTGACTAAATAAATAACATTTTAGTAGTTATTATCGTTCAAATTTGTTGAAAATTCTTAATAAGATGAATTCTACACGACCGCTGGCAGGTGCAAAAACTTTTTATTTTTCTGAATACATTATTATTCAACACACTTTTAATGACTTAGATTTGCATTTTTTCATCTTACACAAAATTTGTATATCATACATTTTTAACTGGCATAAACTTAATGTACTTGACTCCAAATAGAATCGATGATAACAATACATGATTTAACTCAATCGACAATTCTACGGACCCGCCTGCGCGGACTCGCCTGCGGACTCGCGCAACTGGGCCACTCATAATTCCTTCAATACTTAACGGATCAGTATGAATTTTGGAATGTGAGTATTAATTATCGATACGCTGCCGCAGGAATTATTACAGATTTTTTCATGAATTAATTTTTATTTAAAACCAATAAACTTATTTTTTAAGCAACTGGGACACTCATAATTCCTTCAATACTTAACGGATCAGTATGAATTATTGAATGTGAGTATTAATTATCGATACGCTGCCGCAGGAATTATTACAGATTTTTACATGAGTTATTTCCTAACCTAACCTAACCTAACTTAACCTAACCTAACTTAACCTAACCTAACTTAACCTAACCTAACCCAACCTAATCTAACCTAACCTAACCTAATAATAAGGCATATAAAAATCTGTAATAATTCCTGTGGCAGCATATCGATACTTAATACTCACATTCCAATATTCGAGCAGATCCGTTAAGTATTGAAGGAATTATGAGTGTCCCAGTTGCTTAAAAATACGTTTATTGATTTTAATTAAAAAATAATTCATGTAAGAATCTGTAATAATTCCTGCGGCAGCGTATCGATAATTAATACTCACATTCCAAAATTCATACAGATCCGTTAAGTATTGAAGAAATTATGAGTTTCCCTGTTGCTTAAAAAATACGTTTACTGGTTTTAATTAAAAAATAACTCATGTGAAAATCTGTAATAATTCCTGCGGCAGCGTATCGATAATTAATACTCACATTCAATAATTCATACTGATCCGTTAAGTATTGAAGGAATTATGAGTGTCCCAGTTGCGCGAGTCCGCTGGCGAGTTAGCAGGCGGGTCCGTAGAATTGTCGATTGAGTCATGAACTCATCGAACGTCAAGCTTTTTAATTTGAAGTAAAGACTAGCTATTAAATGTAATACTGAACAAATGGTATGGTTATATGGTAAAAAAGCATTAGCAACCTGCACTTCCAGGGCAACCTTCCACTGGGCAGGGTGGCCCAGTGGTTAAAGTTCAGAGTACCAAGATTGGAGCAGAGAGACGCGGGTTCGATCCCAGCTCTGTGCGCCAGTTTCTGGTCAGGATCGGCAAGGAGGCCGGGCGGTTAAGCACAGCAGAATTGTAGCAGTGCGTTGCGAGTTCGAGACCGCAAAATGCTGTGAATGTTCTGCGATGTTAAGAATCGGCGACAGGCCTACGGCCTACTAAACGCTGAAACCGCTATTATTATTATTATAAAAACCAGAACATAAGTGCTCAATCGAGCCACCAAGACAAACGCCCGAGGCAACTTTGATAACTCGATCAGAAGTTTTGATTGGTTCTAAACTAGTTTCGATTGATTTTTTGTTTCTTAGCACTGATTTGTGCCTTTTAAATCAAAATTGCAATTCATTGTAATTCAGAGATCCAAATTGTTACCTATAATGTTTTCTAGAGGATAAACCCTTCGTAATCTTTACTTGGCAACACTTTGTTTGTGTTTTCATTTGTGTAGACTCAAAAAATTCACTACGGCGGAGTCCGGAGTGCGGGCAGTTGGTCAACACTCTCCATTAGTCTATCAACACGTTCAAAGCCTGTCAAGAACAAGTAATTTACGTAGCTTCTTAGAATTTTACGTTACATTTTCGCGAATACTGTCACTGTGTTGTGTCTTGTGAGTTCATCAAGATGAGTACCAGTAATTCAGGAAGCTCGCAGTATTCTTCATATGTTGTTGAGGATCAGCAAATGTTGAATGATGTAAGTAAAGTTTGTAAGGCTTTCGTTTTGAATATTTATTAAATTTTATCTGTTTAGCAGCCAAAGCCACATCACCGTGCCGACTGCCGAGCACGCCGGCTGCCGCGCATGGTAGAATTTGCATTGATCAGTATGGTATGTGAATGTGTAATGATTTGTGTATTGTGTACAAATATTTTATTTCGGCAAAATAGCAATAAATGTGTGTTGCCTTTTTAACTTGGACCTTGCAGTCTTGCACCTTGGTAATGGTAAATATATCTGTGTCATGGTGATCAAGCATCGTGAGATTCTGAGAATGATGAGAGTAGAGACTACAGACTAGAGACTACTGAACAGACTAGAGTCAGAGAGCCAGCCTGGCTTGGCATGAAATATGAAGCCTTTGTGCATTGTGCTGACTATGCACACTGCACAGTTTGAAGCTGCCAGGTTTTTGTAATTAGGAAAATTCCAATCATGCCACTAGCACTATGCCACCAGGCATGGAATATATCTGCTTGGTGAGCCGCGACTGAATTTTTTGAGCCGTGGTTTTATGGATTTGCCAGCCGTAATTACATTCCTTCGAGCCGTGATTCTATTTCACCAAGCGGTGAATTCCATATCTTGGCCATGAAAAGCCATTTACGAGGTGCAAATTTATTTACAAAGTCCATGCACGGGTTATCCAAATCTCTAATTTTACCCTAAAACAGTCAAATGGCAACAATAAAATTTGTCTTTACTGTAAGTTGAGCACATGTTAAAGCAGTCTGACCACTTTGACATGACCGCAACTATGCACGATCTTCAGCAAAACATAGAAATGGAATCACGGCTGGCAAATCCATAAAACCACGGCTCAAAAAATTCAGTCGCGGCTCGCCAAGTAGATATATTCCATACTAGACTGGCACTATGTAAGCCAATAATAATGTAGGGTTTGGTAAATGGTAATTCACCTTTACCATAGTCTAATTGTTCTGCCAAAGAATACTTTTTGAACTCAAAATATTAACAATATTGTTGAAGATTGGTTGCCAGAGGCAGAACATAGTGAATTTGCCCAATCTCTTGTGTACATTAATGTTGGTACCTATTCAACTATCCATGAAAAAAAAACCTCTGCTTTGCCACTATGCATTAGAATTACCTAAATCTACAGGATTTTCTATAAAAATTTATTTACAAAACCTAAAATAGTGGCATTGTGGTGGGCCATCTGGAATCTGGATTGATATTGAAATTGAATGTATAAATTGCCAAAACTCTACCCTGGCCCTGATATTGGCATTTGGCATTGCTTCACCAGTGGCTAAAAGCCTAAAACCTATGACCAAATAGGCCTAGTCTGTTGACAATGGAACTCTGTACAGTCTGACATCTGTAGAGCATCTTAGATGTATCTGGAAGCCCAATGTTCCAACACACCTTGATACATACCAAAATTCCTGCATATATTAATTGTACAGGCAATACATGCTTGTTAATGTTTTTATTATGTTTTGTCTATCATTGCATGTCTTGACCTATATTTTTGTGTAAGTTTAGCTTTTCTTTATCAATTATAGTTTCAGTTTTGCATTCTTTGTACTTTGAACTTGTCATGAAGCTGGTCTTTAAAAAGTTTTAAAATGTGGTAAATTTTCTTGGTTTTATTTACTTTACAATTCTTTCCAAAAATTTCTCTTGCTTCTGAGGCCAATTGGGTTCCTAGTCTGACAACAGGCAAACTCAATATTCTTTTTCTTTTCCATATTATGTGGGCAGTGGGCTTCAATAATGTTTTTTATATTTACCAAATGTGAAAAGGTAAAAAAAATATTTACCAAATGTGAAAATAGCAGAAAAATTTGCTACCTTCAGCCATAATGAGAAGCTTAATAATAAATATTTATGTGCTTCAGGTGGAAGCAGCTCTGTGTGTTGGTGGCAGCAACCTCAGCTCTGTTGCAACTTCCTCACAACTAAATATTGCAGGTGAGAGGATGAAAGGGCAAAAACACTTTACCCATGCTATGCTGGTATTGTTTTGCTAGAAAGTTTGTTGAATTGGCCTTGTACTTGATAGTTTATCAAGTTTTTAAACATGTTTCAAGAGGCTCTAGGTAATGCAATAGTAGTTAAAAGATGTTATAGTATTTAATTTATTAGCATCCTTTAAGGTGGTGCTTGAGAGCCGCAAGGTCCCAGACAGGTTCCTAAGCAGTTCTTCACTAATTAGGGTGAACTTTACTCCACTTGTAAATGAGATGACGATCTGAAATTTTCCATACTTATCTAGGTATTTATTTACAATCCGTGTAAAGGAACAAAAAATATGTAAGCTTTGTATAACACCAGTTATGATAGATGATAATTTTGTACCTCAATGTTAATTAAACCGGCGTCTTATCGAAATTTTTGAGACGTTAACGTGTAGTACTATTTATTCTCTATCTGATGTTACTAAATACATGTAAGAATCAACATCCATTTTGTAAATATTCACAACCAAAAAATGTTTTCATCACTGCTAAACAGGACTTTTCACATTTTCATTGGATGCTTGCGCTGAGCACGTTGAAAGTGTCGTACGCTCATAAATCTCTTGCTTGAAGTGGCTACCCTTGTCTACCCCATAGAGGGGATAGAGGGTAGAGGGGAAGACATCCTCTACCCCACCTCGCATGGAGGTAGACAGGCTGCACTGCTCACCCTCCCCTGTTCCCTCCTATGGCCCTGTGTTAAAGGGCTAGCACATTTATTACAGCATCCAAAATCAAATGCCCAAGCTCTGCACGTTATTTCAAGACAATAAAAGATGCTGTGATTTCTAAAAAAATGCAATCATTTGAAAGTCGTTGACGATCAAATAATAATGAACAGAAGGCATTCCTACTTCTTCCAAGTTCAAGGTCAGATGAAAGTTACAGTGTGAGGGATCAGCTCAGCGGCCCAAGCACCCTTTGCTTAGTTACGCGTCTGCCCAAGTCTATGAGTGTAGAGCAGCCAGACGCAGGCCTGCGCTCACATGACATTCCTTTGACACCACACAGCCAGACGTAAGAAACTAGTAGTCACGGCAGCGTCCGCGATCACCCTCGCTTCGGAGTTCGGGCGGGTCTACATACCCCCCTTAATAATCCATTCAAGTGACATGCCACAATATATATAAAGCTTAAAAAATTATCATGTTTGGAGAAGAAAGAAAATGTTAGTACAGTATAAAATTTTGTATAAAATGTATGTTCATTAATATTATCTTTCAGGTAGCAGTGACAGTGGGAGCAACAACCGAGTGGTAGTGGTGGTCAACAGTGCAGGTACTCCAGTTGGTACGGCCATACTCGACCACTCTGGTCGAATGCTTGCCATCAACACCGATGGTGAGATGGCAACACCGATGATGGCCTATGACCAAATTAATTGCTGAGCTTTATTTATGTGCTGAGCTTTAGCTTTATGTGTTTCTGATTAATTCAATAGGAAAGATGTAAGCACTTATGTTATAAATTTATTATTTTATATTTTTATTCAATGCATAGGAATTTACTATATTAGCTTGACAGCATTCAAATTTAAAAGAATATGTGGTACGTAGGCAAGATGTTGATGCATTGCATTTGATTGGCCTCTATAGAATTAAATATTTTTTCTCATTTTAATGTTATTTACCATGTGACTTGGTATCGTAAAAGGGGCTTACTAGGACCAGTTTAAAAATTTAAATGCACATCTTCATTAAACCAGCTAAGTTTGAGTTAAATTGAAACATGCATAATTGCATATGTAAGGTATGCACCCAAGGTTTACTTATCAGTACCGGTATGTGCAGGTTCCTCTTCCTCTTGGTGTTCATGTAGTTGTAAGACAGGTGACTTGGATCAGCCCCATGGTTAAAATATGAGATATAGTCAAATGGGGTAAGACAGGATCACAGGCTTCATGGGGTAAGAAAGGACCAGCCCATGGCATGCATTCTAATTGCACTGAATTTAATTTGAAGTCCTCTATTACCCTACAGTTTATCAAAAATAGTTTTTAAATGAATATATTATTGTGTAGTACATGGAGTATTTTGGTCAAAATTTTTATCTTTTGCTCAAACTTCATTATAACTTGTTAGCTTTATTAAAGAAATTTAGTGCACTATTTTAAATTTCATCAAAGGGATACAGAAAATAGGGATGTCTCTTCCCATTAATGAGCTGCGAACTAGTATGTGCAAGATTGGCTGGGGGAAAATCATTGTGTGGAACATGAAAAATAATTATGATCAAAACTCTGAAAGAGGGCATGAGCTATGTTTGAAGAAGTGCATCACAAATGCAGTTAGCAAGAAAACACATGACGTCTGACACTTAAGTTATTATCCATTGGTTTTATTACCAATTTGATAAATTTTCAGACAATGACACTAATGGAATATACATGAAGCATTTAGCAGTGCTCTACAATGAACCAAAGCCAACCCACTATTACTATGCTTAACAAAGTTTTCTCATTACAAAAACTCCAATGTGACTGATATTAGAGTTGACTTCCCACAACACAAAACAGTAACAAGTGGTTGTTTAATCAAATAATGTGTTTCTAGATTGATAATATTGAATATCAGATTTGTACTGTTATGAAAAACCTTGTAACATAAGAATTGCCAGTTGGTCCTTTCTTACCCCAGCCTGGTCCCATCTTACCCCAGTGGGGTAAGATGGGACCAGCCAACTTTTTTTAATCTGTACAGAAAACTATGTTAGAGGCAAAACGTCTGAGTTGTAGCTTAGAAGCCCATTGCATATATACACCTTGTGATAGGTTTAGGGTATTTAGTTATTCATGGTATAGATGCTACAGGCTTGTTTGTGATTTCGGTCCTGTCTTACCCCATCTGACTATATATATATATATTGTATTAAGATAAAAGAGCAAAGAATTTATTTAATTTATCCACATTTACATTTTTGTAGGTATTAGCACAGGAAACTCGTCATCAGCGATGAACCTGACCTCACTTGCCAGCAGCCAACAACATCAACAAGTACTGGTGCCAGGAGAGGTGGCTGGCAGCACTAGCATCACAGTCACTAATGGCAGTAATGCTGCACATGCTGGTCAGTGTAATGCATCATTCATTATTTTGTAATTATACTTAGCAATTTAAAATAGTTCACTACCTGTCATGTGAAATTGTTATGTTCTAGAGCTTTAAATATTAAGGACCAGATACAAGAATGAAGGCTGGTAATATTGCTGTCTACTTAACACTAATAAAAGATGTTAAAAGTGAAATAGATTTTATAAGTAAACAATGTTTGAACATGAGAGTGTTCAATGTTTAGTAAAATGGTATGTTTTTAACCTAATAATTTGAGCTGCTATACATTGTGTAGTATATGTTATTTACTGTACTGGGTCTCATTCTCTCAAACATACTAACAAAATGTTAATGCATTATTTCTACATTAGTCTCTATAGTGGTTTCCAATTTGCATGGTCATATAAAATCATTATTGTAAGCCATAACAACAACTCATATAACTTATAAAAGGTTAGCTCATGACTTCACAAGTTCATGTGTATAGGTTAGAATTAATATATTCCTTTTTACAGCACTTCTCTTTAACTTCACTTCTTGTTTATTTGTCTGTCTGTCTGTCTGCTACAAATAATATAATCAAAATTTAACACACTTCTACTTATCCTATCGATCTGAATTTTTGCACACTTGCGAAAAGTTGGAGACAATGCAAGAATCAAATGACAAAATAAAAGATTTTAAAAATGAATTTTTTTTTTCAATATTAAAAAATTTTAAAAATAATTTTGTCAGCTAGGTACCTACAAATCTTAAAACTGTTATTTGACACCCTTCTACCTGTCCAATTGACCCGAAATTTTGTACACTTCTGTGAAGTTGGAGGCAATGCATGAATCAATTGACAGAATAAATAATTTTGTAAAAAATTTGTAAATTAAAAAAAATTTAAAAATTATTTTTTTTAATATTCAAAAATAAAATAAGAAATTCATTGTACATTTTTAACATTAGAGACACTGGATTCTTTAGAAGTGTTATCTTCAAAAAGTAATTTTTAAACATGTATTATTTTATTTGATAAAGTATTGTTGAGCAAAATTCCATGTTGTATATTTTGTGATGTAACTGCTTACAAGGACTCGCCAGCAGTGGCGGGCTGATCATCAATGGGGAGTACACACAGGGTGGCTATGAAGGCGCCTACCAACCAGCATCTGCCAAGAGACTCTCACCGGCCAAGACCAAGGCAAAGAAATATGCCCGAACACCTGTTAAAACTCCCACAAGGTTTGACATGCATTTAGTTACATTTGGTTGAATTTTGTTGATAATGGTAGATTATACATGGCAAATAAGATAGGTGGTTAAGTGTGCTTAATTTTCTTCTGGATTCCAAAGAAGCATGGGTTAAAATATGGTCTCCACCTTCTCCCATCCCAAACCTCTATTTTTTATTTTATCTTTTGGTTTTGTGTTATGAATATAACAGGAACATTTTCTCACATTTGTGTAAAGCATACCTATTGCCTGCACAATAGATGTAAAATATATCCTTTTTTGTCTCGCCCTTTCTCACCAAGACTTTTCCAGCTCCTCACTATTTTTTTCCTAAGATCCTCTCTGCACATAGTTTCCTTCCAACTTATTCCTCCTCAGGCGGGACATAGCTTCCCTTGCATGGTTATGCAGCTAAATTGAACTAGTCATCCTCTGTCAGAACCTAGCTACAGTTTTGCGGTTAAATTGAACAAGTTATCCTATGTCAGAACCTAGCTACAGTTATGCAGCTAAATTGAACAAGTTATCCTTTATCAGAACCTAGCTACAGTTATGCAGCTAAATTGAACAAGTTATCCTTTATCAGAACCTAGCTACAGTTATGCGGCTAAATTGAACAAGTTATCCTATATCAGAACCTAGCTACAGTTATGCGGCTAAATTGAACAAGTTATCCTATGTCAGAACCTAGAGGCCAGAATCTATGCCTTGCATAATCGTTGTGACTTTTGGAAAATTGTGGCCACATTCTTTGCTTGCTTCAGTACTTTGTGTCTAGTACACATTACACTGACAACAGTCACTGATCATTTAATTATGTTTTTAACTTGCATTTTTTTGTTCACTCTGACTCATGTTTTATTTCATTATATTATTATGAAGCGCCATGTGCTAGAATACCTATTCAGTTATCCTATAATCTATAAATATGCACTTCATGCAAGGCCAGTCTTTGGGTGAAAATATATTTCAATGTACCTATTAGTTCAATTATATAATACTTGCATTTGTGTTATGTACCTATTGTTTCAATTGCTTCATGATTCACATTTCGTTGGGATAAAGCTTGAAGAAGTTGATATTTTACAGATCAGAACACGGACATGTCTCCATACCCCGGAGAAGGTCAGCCCCGGCTGATTTCACTCTACCACCATACCCTACCTCCAGTACCCAGTACAGCTCCACCCATCAACTACCTAACTCCTTGAATCATCAATCTCAGGCATTAAATCAGCAACCTCACCCATTAAATCAGCAACCTCACCCATTAAATCAGCAACATAATCCATTAAATCACCAATCCCATTCTTCAAATCAATCTAACTCTTTACACCAACAATCTAACCCTACCAATCAGCAAACTAATTCTACAAGTTATAACGCATCTGGAGGAAGCACAAACCCCAATGCCCTCAAGTTAGAGGATAAAAAAGAGGAAAGTTCCCCCAAAAAGGGGACGCTATTAGGAATGACGGAGCCGCTGGGAGCCAAAAGGAGGAAAAATGCCATGAAAATCCCTCATCACGGCATGGATGAGTTCCCTCACTTCCACCATCTCACCAAGAGCCAAGTTGAGGTCAGTGCTCCGAACTGGCCACAACGGCCAGACGTGTTCTCAGCATTTAAATAACGTGTAGTGTTTTTATGTTTATAAGGTGTGCATTTTTGGCCCCTCTAAGCAAATAAATGCTCCCTTTGAAGTGAAGGATTAAAAGGTTAAATACAAATTATCTCTAGACTGAAGGTACATTTTATCCTTATTTTGCTCTTGTGCATAGACAGAGCATTGGTGAGTGTTAGGAGTTTACTCAGTGAGGTTCTCAACCCTTGATAGGAACATGCATTAAGTTATGAATCACCCACTACTCACTCCTCCCCCCCACACAGGGCCTGTTCATGGTGCTGGGGCCCCACTACACAAACCCCGGTCGTCGGGCCCCGCTGAAGGACTTCGTGCTGGCGTCCTTGGTGCTGCTGTCCACAAAGGACTCCTATAGGGAGATGGCCGACCAGCTCGTTTTCAAGTCCCGCGGCTGGATGCATAAAACCATCCACCTCTTCTGCAGCCTCGTCGTCGCCCACCTCAGCAGCGTCATTGAGTGGCCGAGTGGTGAGTGGCGTACCTCTTCTGCAGCTTCGTCGTCGCCCACCTCAGCTGCGTCATTGAGTGGCCGAGTGGTGAGTGGCGTACCTCTTCTGCAGCCTCGTCGTCGCCCACCTTAGCAGTGTCATTGAGTGGCCGAGTGGTGCAGCAGCGTGAGCTCATTTCTATATTTTTGATCCTCTTTACGCTACAAAACAATTATTTTTCAACCTACTACTGCAGGAGGCGCGGTAGACGAGGCGACCCACGAGTTCCAGAACCTGGGTGGGGTGCCGGGGGTGGTGGGGGTGATGGGGTCCTGCCACATGGCCATCACTAAAGCCCCTGTGGGCAAGTCCAGCAGCATCTACTCCAATGCCATGCAGTTCCATTCCATACATTTGCTCGCCGTCGCTGACCACAAGTGCGTCTTACACTCCACTATAATTACGCTGGATTGCAAGAAACATTTATTATTTTATAGTAGGACATTATCATAACGAGGTTATTGTATTTGTTTCTGTTATGTATCATGACGAATTCATGGAATTAGGATTTAGTATTATTATTATTGTTATAAATGCTGATATGTTCAGTCGGTGTGCTGGGTGACGTTCGACTAGATATAATTGATGCTCTCATCCCTTATGCCCTGCGGGGTGAGGGTAGGAATGTATGGCTTATGCATCCCTCACGCCCTGCGGGGTGAGGGTAGGAATGTATGGCTTATGCATCCCTCATGCCCTGCGGGGTGAGGGTAGGAATGTATGGCTTATGCATCCCTCACGCCCTAGAGGGTGAGGGTAGGAATTTATGGCTTATGCATCCCTCACGCCCTGCAGGGCGAGGGTAGGAATGTATGGCTTATGCATCCCTCATTCCCCTCAGGGCGATGTTCACTTATATCAACGTGGGGCGGGCCGGCAGCCTGCACGAGTCTCAGGTCTACAAACGCAGCTCGCTGTGCCAGATCATCGAGCAAGAACCCCACGTCATATTCCCCCCCAACACCCACCTGGTGGCCAGTGCTGCCTTCCCCCTGGACGACCGGATATTAGTCCCATACACCCAGCAAGAGACACAGACTCCCCAGCCCCCGGGGAACTCGAGACTCCAGAAGGAATTCAACTCGCGGCTTCAGATGACCAAGCGTCCTCTTGAGGAAGCCTTCCGTCTGCTGAGGGGCAAATGGCAGCGTCTGAAGTGCCTTGAGATGCAGCAAGTGAGCAGCATGAGCCTGGCGATCCGCACGTGCTGCATCCTGCACAACATCTGCATGCATAACGACGAGTATCGCTCCTCTCCTGCCGCTTCTCTGCTCGAGGAGGAACAGTTCCACGAGCTCGAGTTCATGGGCAACCCGCCGCTGAGTGCACTGCAGAAGAGGGATCTCATAGCCCACCATGTGCAGAGGGAGGCCATGTGTAGCTGAGCGTGTACAGAGGGAGGCCGTGTGCAGCTGAGCGTGTGCAGAGGGAGGCCATGTGTAGCTGAGGGTGTGCAGAGGGGGCCATGTGTAGCCGAGGGTGTGCAGAGGGGGCCATGTGTAGCTGAGCGGGTGCAGAGGGGGCCATGTGTAGCCGAGGGTGTGCAGAGGGAGGCCATGTGTAGCTGAGCGTGTGCAAAGAGAGGCCATGTGCTGCTGAGCGTGTGCAGAGGGAGGCCATGTGTAGCTAAGCGTGTGCTGAGGGAGGCACGCGCTGTCTTCTTGTCACTCATTTTATTTTATGACTTTAACTTTACTCTCACTATAATTGTACTCGTTGCCAGTTTTCAAGATCAGTGGTCAAGTTGATGAAGTTTTGGAGTCGCCGTTTGTATTTATGTAAATAAATAGTTTATTCGCCATAATTGCATCGGATTCACATATCCTGAATATGATTATAGTGGAACTGGCTGCTGAAAACTGACACCGAAATCATGACCTCAGCATACGATTATTAGCATACGATAATACGATCAGGATGCGATTACTCAGCATTATTAAATTATCGGCGATCATTAACACGTTTGGGTTTGATTTTATTATTTCCAATATGCTACACTGCTGACTTAGTATGCTAAATATATTTCACTATACACACTATATATATATATATATATATATATTATAGTGTGTATACCTTTTACCAACGTTGAAGTTGGGAGTTGGGACTTACCGTTCATTATTTTAAATTTGAGTTTCTGACTCCTTCATGTTTGAAGAGTAGTGGTCGCTGAACGGCCTTAGCGACTGAAGAATTCCTTCAAATTCATTCACCGTGAAATAAATATATTTCGGACCACAACGGAGACAGGCTTTAAAAACAACAGGAATGAAAACGGGCAATGCTGTAGAGTGTAGAAGACAAGATTCCAATCTGGTTATGGTTTATCTTTTCTTCTCAATTAAACCTATAGAAGTTGAGTCGTTCCTCCTATCTATGCAGGGCACACTGAGGTGTGATATACGCTTTGCATTCGAACAATATGCTTGTACGAGTAAATCACCCCGCGTACCACGTCAGTGTCATGTTGACATGCAGATATGGTGCGTGTTGATGCCCAAGAAGTGTTCGTTTTGTCCCTCTATTGGGCTATTGGCATGTCGTGCGCGGCTATTGGCATGTCGTGCGCGGCTATCGGCATGTCGTGCGCGGCTATTGGCATGTCGTGCGCGGCTATTGGCAAGCATATCGTGCGTGGCTATCGGCATGTCGTGCGTGGCTATTGGCATGTCGTGCGCGGCTATCGGCATGTCGTGCGCGGCTATCGGCATGTCGTGCGTGGCTATCGGCATGTCGTGCGCGGCTATTGGAATGTCGTGCGCAGCTATCGACATGTCGTGCGATCGGGCCGGCCTATTCGTTTTGTTTACAAACGATTCTCCGGAAATGTGTCTAGCCTGTGCTGCATTTACGCTGACGATACCGAAGTTCATAAAACAGCGGAGACAACTTCAAGGAAAGTGCAGGAGCTGATACATAACAGCTGCGTTGTGACGCTGACAAGCGTGCAGTTCTTCCCCTGGGCAAGAATAACGAACATGCTATATAATACTATATTAATATATATAATATTATTTAGTATGCTATATTAATATATAGCATACACAGCAGGCTATATAATACTATATCAATGTATAGTATACACAACAGGCTATATTTTGAGAGGGTTATGATTGAGAAGTCTTGCGTGGAAAAAGATCTTGGAGTTAGGGTCGACAAGTATAGTATAGTATCTTCGGCATTAAATAAATAGGCCTGTCGCCGATTCTTGTACTTTTCTTGACTAGACTGGCCTTACGGACGGTGGATTTAAAATCGCTTCTAGATATCAGTTGTTCCGTAGGGTACGAGGCATTTTAAGACTGAACATATGCTCCTGCATGGCCTTGTCTAGTCTGTTCTTGAACGCGTTCATACTCGGAGCGTCAACAATATCTTCAGGGAGGCTGTTCCACATGTCGGTGACTCGTAGCGAGAAGAAATGTTGTCGCGTGGATAAGTTAAACCGCAGTTTTTTTAGTTTATAGCTGTGGCCCTTGGTGTTGGTTCTTGTTTCAAATTCTAGTAATCCTTCTGGGACCTTGTACAAACCATGAGTATACTTGTATACTTCAATGAGGTCACCACGCAGGCGACGATAACGGAGACTGGGAAGCTTCATAATCTTCAATCTTTCTTCATAAGACTTGCCCTTTAATCCTGATATTATCCTTGTTGCTCGTCTTTGAACACTCTCAACTAAATTTTTGTCCTTTTCAAGTCTCGGTGACCACACAACGTTTCCAAACTCTAGGTTTGGGCGCACGACAGAGGTGAACAACAGCTTCATCATTTCTATATCTAGGTACTCGTAGGAGCGTCTGATCAGCCCAAGCAGTTTATTGGATGTATTAACTTGCGTTTAATATGCCTATAAAATTTTTAATACAATACAATTTTAATACAATACAATTAATAAATCCAATAAACTGCTTGGGCTGATCGCTCCTACGAGTACCTAGATATCATAGCAATGATGAAGCTGTTGTTCACCTCTCGTGCGCCCGAACCCAGAGTTTGGAAACGTTGTGTGGTCACCGAGACTTGAAAGAGACAGAAATTTAGTTGAGAGTGTTCAAAGACGTGCAACAAGGATAATTCCAGGCTTAAAGGGCAAGTCTTATGAAGAAAGAGTGAAGATTAAGAAGCTGCCCAGTCTCTGTTATCGTCGCCTGCGTGGTGACCGCATTGAAGTATACAAGTATGCTCATGGTTTGTACAAGGTCACAGAAGGATTACTAGAATTTGAAACAAGAACCAACACCAGGGGCCGCGACTATAAACTAAAAAAACTGCGCTGCAACTTATCCACGCGACAACATTTCTTCTCGCTTCGAGTCACCGACATGTGGAACAGCCTCCCTGAAGATATTGTTGACGCTCCGAGTATGAACGCGTTCAAAAACAGACTAGATAAGGCCATGCAGGAGGCCAGGAGCATATGTTTAGTCTTAAAATGCCTCGTATCCTACGGAACAACTGAAATCTAGAAGCAATTTTAAATCTACCGTCCGTTGAAAAGATTTGATCAAAAGGCCAGTCTAGCCAAGAAAGTATAAGAATCTGCGACAGGCCTATCCAGACCTATTCCTCAATGCCGAAGACACTATAATACTATATTATATTGATATATGAGAAGACCAGTAAGCAACGCTAGAGTCCCGCTTGAAGAACAACAGTAAAAAGTATCTGACTCTGTGGCATCCCGGCCCGCAACAATCAAAATTTTGTAATTTATTTAGTAAAGAAATAATCGATGTTCAGTGTCAGCCTCGTCACATTAATGTGCTCCTATGTTCAGTTCATCGTCAGCTCTGTATTGGCAAACGTAAACTTGATTCACATCCATTGATCCAGCACATCCCTAACATCTGCGTACTTTAAAATTTTGTATAGCATCCGCTAACGATCTGTACGAGTTCTGTCGATTCGGTGAGTTCACGTTGACAATGAGTTAATTTTTCTAAATACATTAGAGCACAAGATAATAATTTAATATATATTTTTAACTGGTCCGATGTTCCCAGCGGTGATTCTATGCAGAATTTGTGAAGGTGTTGTTTGTTGCACTAGTTCCAATGAACTTTTCGGAAACCCGAATGGGCTGGTTCATGATAAGCAAATCTGACACACTATTTCCAAGAAAATATTGAACACACTTAATAAAAAATTACGCGTTTTCTTGACATTTCAGATGTTGAGAACATGTCACTAGCATAGCATAGCATAGCATAGCATAGCAATCTCGGCATCAGATGTTAGGCTTCCACAGCCTGTTGCCGATTCTGTTGTGCCTGGTACTCGTTTCTTGGTCCATACTGACTGCTGATCCTTTGATCAGCTCTAATAAAGGTGGGAAGCTCGTCTACACTGTAGACAAGGTCCCGCATAACACTGTCCA